TCAAAAGGAACAGTGTAATGCGATTAAATGCCTTGCCAACATCTTTTTGATACTCATCCAATTGAAATATATGGTCAGGATGGTCTGGAAGGGTCAAAATAATGTCGGGATGGTCTGGAAGGGTCAAAAAAGGGTCAAAATAATCTGCTTCTTTATCGAAATTACGATCGTGTGCACAGTGTTTTTCGTATGACACCTTAAGAAGTTCTAACTTGCGAATGGTTGTAGAAACTCGGACCATCTTTGCTTTGCCTTTCATGGGTTTTAATTCCCCTTTTGTCAAAGTCATTATTCCTATTCCAATTAGAACTTCCTTTGGAGGATTCTTTTCTTTCTTTTTTGCCGCATGCTGTACCCTTTCGTCCGACTTTCGTTTCCGAAATTCATTGAAGGAAAGTATAGGAGTTTTTGGCTGACTAGGTGGACCAGGTGGTGTATTTGAAATTGTGGATGTTGTGAATTTTCCACATTGGCTACTCGTAGAATCTGAAACATTCGATCCATTTGTTTTCTGTAATTCCACACTAAGTACAGTACCACAAAGGTGACAAAAGCGAAATGATTCCAAGACGTCTGAATTGCATTTCCTGCATTTCATCGTAATAATAATCAAATATATGCAAATTGCAATTAAAGTGGAAAACTGATATTCATTCAAAATGACGCCATTTTGAATTTAGCCTGCACAGCCCGACCAGCCCGTTTAATCATTTCCAAATGTGTTTTGCGATGTCAAATGTGTTTTGCGATGTCAAATGTGTTTTGCCATCTGTCAAATGTGCTTTGCGATTTGTCAAATGTGCTTTGCGATGTTCAAATGTGTGTTGACTTTTTTAAAATGTGTTTTGTTAAATGTAAATATATGTCTAGAAAACTGGTAAATGTGTTTGAGAATCGTGAAATGCGCTTTGGTTTTCTTGTTTTGTGTTTTGCACTTATGGGCCACCGTATTAAAATGAAGTCAGCGACATAGTAATATTAACAGGTATGACATCATCAAAATGTCAGTTAATTAGGTCAAATATAAACATAAGATAATGGACTACATACTGTTAGTGGTCAAAATGTCTCTCAAAGAAGATGGAGTAAAATTGTAAATGTCTTTATACATAATACCAAAAGTACTTTCAAATGAGACAAACTTAATTTTTATTGCCATTTTCCTTTATGAAAAACGAGCAATTTAACATAGATCAGTATGAATGATATTCTCACCAGTAATGTCCAATGAATCTCATGTTCATTGATACGAATAAATATTTTCGAAACAGACACAAAACTTTGGCCTGACCAAAGCAAACAGGTGCTGGATCCACGTTTACAATGGTTGCCAAAGTTGCATCTACAGCAAAAACATCATATTTCAAAGTGAACTTCCACAGAGCTGTTTCCACCACCTGGAAAATTAAGAACTGTTCAAGAACCTGTATGTTTTGATATTACGTGCATTATTATTATGACCAGATATTGATCAATGTCTAATGTAAATTATTGCGACAGGTTTTCTAAACTTGTGCCAGTGAAAGGCTGCATTCTCTACCAAAACTGCAGCAGAACCGTCCTACTGTATGGCAGGTTTTCTTTTTAACCTGAATGGCTTGCATATGTTGTATACTAGTACGGCATGCTATTTCACTAGACTAACCTTATCTATGAGCCAGCCTGGATGGAAATTTGTTAAAGACAATGTTTCGGAACTATGGTTACGTCCACATGACACCAATGGTTAATTTTGTTGGCCCAACATCTAACAATACATCGTGTATCTTGAGTTCCTTCTTTGTCGCTGTGTTTCTGTATGAGGTAAACGGAAATAATTGGAAGAGATTAGTTTTTGTAACAGGTGTTGGTTAAATTAATAAATTATTAATTCTTGGGTTTCACTACGGCATTATGCAGTGAATCTGACTCGGGGTCAACCTCAATGCTGTACTGGAGTGAGATAATGATATGAAATTCCATGTATTTGCCACTATACACAAGGTAGTTATCAGAGTGAGTCGATTGTTCGTTTTATGCATAAAATGAACAATCGACTCACTCTGATAACTGTCTTTTGTTTTAGAGTTGACCCCCCCTGTCACTTTTGTGACATATGAAACCCAAGAATAACTAATATAAAAATTGTTAGCTGCATGGCAATTTTAAGCTTTAATGAAACTTGCTAGGAAATTTACAATGCTATGTGAGAACAAAATAAAAGACATTACAACAAACAAAGGCGAGTTAGATATGGGATTGGCAAACAGACTCGACATCCTAAAAAGGCAAACCCCACACATAAGTTACCACTAGAAATTTACACTACCAAAATATAAAACTTCAGTAAAAGTTCTCTAATACCACTGCACAGACAGCCCAGTCTCTTAAGAGCTCAGGTTGACTGCACATACCAACTTAGAAACAAATTTTAAAAATTTATTAGGAATTATTACAAAAAATAATCCTAACCCATTTGCTAATACTAATTTTAAAGATAAGAATGTACATTGTACAGTCAATCTGAGGAAGAGACTGGGATGGTGCAGTGTAGCATTCTGCACCATCCCAGAATGCTGAACTTTACCTTTGCGAATTATCATCACATCGCTCACTTTCACCTGGTTGATCAGCTCCAATGTCACAGTCTGGCAGTGGATCATTCTCAATATCTAGAGTCAGACTGATTACTGTTTCTTCTGTTTTCTACAGAAAAAAGTGTAAATAGTGACCATTTTAAACCATGGGTGACGATTTCTGTGTAATGAAATGACGTTATGTAATCTCCTAACATGTGTAAATTCAATGTGTAAATTGAGTGTTAACACATTTTCTAGCATACTTACAACACTCTTTTTACAAGTCCCCTTGTTACACGACAACTCCATTTCATCATCCTCGATTACTACCTTTGATTTGTCACATTCATTCACATCAACTTCCATGTTGGCTTTGACATTCTTTGGATTTTCTGAGACTGCCAAATCCTCGTCCATGTGCTCAAGTTCACAAGGTGCTTTTCATCAGGATTGGTCTTGCTTTTGACATTAAATTTGGCTTTTTGAAAATTCACCATTGAAATATCAGAGTATTGGTATTCTGTAGCAGCATAAAGACTTTTTAGGTAATGGTTTACAAATTGTGGTGGCCTGTCTCTGCTAAACATCAGGTTACTTTGCATATTATTGACATGAGTCAGGAATGAAACTTTCATGAGACAATTGTGGTTGCAATACCATACATATACAGATTTATCTACCGACCGTGGAAAAAATTAATATTTGAATAATTTGTTCATTGCCTCCGTCCCATTTTAGTATTAACAACATTGACACACCCTTTTCAGTTGCATATGATATTCTTTGCATTCGGTTCAAGAACGTTTCTTGTTTTTCCGTAGTTTTTTTGCCTGCTTTCTCCCATCTTTGCATGGCTTGGATTCTGTGGAAATCACAGATATAAACAACGGTTGTGGAAGGAAATTGTTCTTCAAGTGCTCTTTCACAGCTTCCACAACTGTGTTGAACTGTGTTGGAGTGATGAAGTCTGAACGCTCTGCATCAAAATTCTCTTTTTCCAATTGACGAAATTGATGATGTGAGATAGATGATGACAGACTCATTTGGTTTCCTTTGCCAACATCCATCACAGTCATGTTATGGTGATAATTCTCCCACAATCTTAATTTATGCCTTCCCACTTTTCTCTAGGCCGATCCAAGCCATGTGCTAAGATGACATTTGCTTCCTTGGAGTGTTTTTGAGTCGTGTGGTGTGGCATCTTCAGAGTCATCACCCCACAGTAACAGCATGCCCGTTTATTCCATCCACTGGAGTGGACAACTGTAACTGTTATAAAAAAAGATGACAAAAATTGTCAAATTACATAAATTCCCTAAAAACTAATCCTGTAAAAATTTGGTACAAGTTATTTCTTCTTATTCATGAAATTACGGTTGGGGTTACTTGCTCATTCATACCAGCCATCATGGATTGGCCCCCGAAGCTCTTGTGATCCTGTATATAAACAGAAACCATAATTTTATTTACAATTAAGGGAACTTGCAACAGGAAAATACACTGCTATCTTGATGATAGTAAATATTTACCAAAAACAGTAAAGTCTCCGGAAAAAACCCAACAGAATTGAAAAAATATTAAAATTTGGGGAAATTTTAGAAATACAAATTTGCCCATGAGCACCAATAATGTCAGGAAAATAGCAGTATGCAGCTGGTATGCATTAATTTTCCGGCTTTATATAGGTCAGTGGGATGCATGCTCGTTAAAGCCGCAATAAAAAGTGTAAATGATATAGATATGCATGAGCTACCACTTACCTAGATCGATATCCGATAGACTTTCCCCCACCCATTTCATTGTATTTCCAGAGTCCACTGCCATTAGCAGTTTCCTAACCTTGACAAGTTCAATTGTGGATTTGTGTAGGCGGTAATACTCACCATAAATCTGACATCATGGCCAAGATTTTGTGCCAGGCCGTCTCCTTGAGTGTGAGCACTTGAGATATATTTTCTCAATTGTCACGTCAGGTTTAGAGAGTGGTGGCTGGCACTCCTTGATGAACTTTATCAAGCAGTCGCATGCTCTCATGTGGCCTAGGGGCTGCTTCGTTGGTTTTGCGAAGACATAGTGGTTGTCTGGTGCTATACCGACACAATTCCTGGTGCGGATCAACAGGTCAATGCTTTCTGTTGTGTGCTTGGTCAGGATTATTGGTGCCTCCTCGCTCTTTTCCCTCTAATTTCAACCATATCAAGCCTGGAAACATATTATAATATGTCTTAAGTATACGCATCATGACAGATTTGCATTATGATAGATTGTATGGACATTGCCCAACTAATTTTAGGTGTAGTTCTACAAAACGTTTGGTGAAAGAAGCCAGAAAAATGCTGATTTCAAGCTTTTATATTGATCTTCCACAATAGTCCACATAGCATAAATTAAAACACTAATATATAAAATTATGCCTTATTAAAGAAGAGAAATTTGACAAACTTTTGGGTAAACTGCACACTTATGTTCTTGTTCTTATGGAGTACCTATAGTTTTGTTTTATAATCCGATTTCCTTGAATAGTTTTACCTGAAAAGCAAACGAAAGGTTTCATAATTCACAAAAAAAATTGGTAAAAACTACACTACCTAAACTATCTAGTCTTTCCCATACAAACACATAGCAAGTTAGGCAAGAAACTTTTCTCACACGAGACACTTATCTTAAAATCATATTTGTATTTACTGTATATTCAGGCAGGTTTCTATATGGAATACTTCTGCATCTTTAACAGATGTATTTACTGTATTGGGTATAATATTGATGGATTAATACTGGTACTTACTTTTTTATAGTGCATGCTCAAACTTATCCAATAACTTGGTGATTTCCACAGTGTTGACGCTATTCCAGATTACTCTCGTTTGGTAATCCTTTATGGCAAGTTTTGATACCTGCCCCCCCCTCCCCTCTTCTCTTGTTGTAGATAAACATTCTTGCCAACATTGTCTGTGACAAGAAACTCCAATCTTTGATACTTTTCTAGTGATTTAAAGGAATCTGACTTTTTTAAGGTCAATGTAAGTTCTTAGTTTTGCCAGATCTTCGGCAAGAGGCAATACATTGACCTTATTGAATTTCCTTGTGTTTAAGGTGTTTGTGGAAAGATGGGAAATTTGTGTGGCCCATTCATTGACCAACAGTCAATGAAAATTGTCGGTCACCTTTTCCTTCACCTCATCCTCTTATTGCCTTGCCAACAACAACTTTGACACAATTTGTTAGCACATAGCCAATCTTTATTGTCAGGGATGGTACGCTTACACTTTGGTGGCCCTCTTTCGTTTCAAATGAACAAAGCTCTTTCATGGCTTCCGCAACTGTGTCAGAGTGATGAAGTCGGAAAGCTCTGCATCAGGATTCTTGCAAGGTCTGAATCCTGAGCTTTGGCGATACCATGCTTCTCAACGAGGAACTTTCCAACCCCCAGAATGAGGTGATAATTTTTGGCTGCCATTCCAATATCATTCCTTAACGTGTCGCCAATACATGATTTAGCATGGTACAGGTATTGTTTCCTTTCAAAGTGCCCAAGAGCATTAGCTTGTAGCTCACCTGGACGGATTTTGTCGTTGACTGGTTACCATGTGGGTTCTCCTCTGTAAATGCTGCTTTGTGGAAGTCAGCAGCAGCAATGGTATGACCGGATCGGTATATGGTTTCCTTGCCACCATCCATCACAGTCATGTTATTGTGATAATTCCCCCACAATCTTAATTTATGCCTTGCTGCCACTTTTCTCTCGGCTGATCCGGTTGGAAATTTTAAGTGCTGCGATGACATTTGCTTCCTTGGAGTGTTTTTGAGTTGTGTGGCATCTTCAGAGTCATCACCCCACAGTAACAGCATGCCCGTTTATTCCATCCACTGGAGTGGACAACTGTAACTGTTATAAAAAAAGATGACAAAAATTGTCAAATTACATCAATTCCCTAAAAACTAATCCTGTAGAAATTTTGTACAAGTTATTTCTTCTTATTCATGAAATTACGGTTGGGGTTACTTGCTCATTCATACCAGCCATCATGGATTGGCCCCCGAAGCTCTTGTGATCCTGTATATAAACAGAAACCATAATTTTATTTACAATTAAGGGAACTTGCAACAGGAAAATACACTGCTATCTTGGTGACAGTAAATATTTACCAAAAACAGTAAAGTCTCCAGAAAAAAACTCAACAGAATTGAAAAAATATTAAAATTTGGGGAAATTTTAGAAATACAAATTTGCCCATGAGCACCAATAATGTCAGGAAAATAGCAGTATGCAGCTGGTATGCATTAATTTTCCGGCTTTATATAGGTCATTGGGATGCATGCCCGTTAAAGCCGCAATAAAAAGTGTAAATGATATAGATATGCATGAGCTACCACTTACCTAGATCGATATCCGATAGACTTTCCCCCACCCATTTCATTGTATTTCCAGAGTCCACTGCCATTAGGAGTTTCCTAACCTTGGCAAGTTCGATTGTGGATTTGTGTAGGCGGTAATACTCACCATAAATGCTGACATCATGGCCAAGATTTTGTGCCAGGCCGTCTCCTTGAGTGTGAGGACTTGAGATATAGTTTCTCAATTGTCACGTCAGGTTTGGAGAGTGGTGGCTGGCACTCCTTGATGAACTTTATCAAGCAGTCGCATGCTCTCATGTGGCCTAGGGGCTGCTTTGTTGGTTTTGCGAAGACATAGTGGTTGTCTGGTGCTATACCGACACAATTCCTGGTGCGGATCAACAGGTCAATGCTCTCTGTTGTGTGCTTGGTCAGGATTATTGGTGCCTTCCTCCCTCCCTCTTTTCCCTCTAATTTCAACCATATCAAGCCTGGAAACATATTATATGTCTTAAGTATACGCATCACGGCAGATTTGCATTATGATAGATTGTATGGACATTGCCCAACTAATTTTAGGTGTAGTTCTACAAAATGTTTGGTGACAGAAGCCAGAAAAATGCTGATTTGAAGCTTTTATATTGATCTTCCACAATAGTTCACATAGCATAAATTAAAACACTAATATATCAAATTATGCCTTATTAAAGAAGAGAAATTTGACAAACTTTTGGGTAAACTGCACACTTATTTTCTTGTTCTTATGGAGTACCTATAGTTTTGTTTTATAATCAGATTTCCTTGAATAGTTTTACCTGAAAATCAAATGAAAGGGTTTCATAATTCACAAAAAAAATTGGTAAAAACTACACTACCTAAACTATCTAGTCTTTCCCATACAAACACATAGCAAGTTAGGCAAGAAACTTTTCTCACACAAGAAACTTATCTTAAAATCATACTTGTATTTACTGTATATTCAGGCAGGTTTCTACATGGAATACTTTTGCATCTTTAACAGATGTATTTACTGTATTGGGTATAATATTGATGGATTAATACTGGTACTTACTTTTTTATAG